GCCTACACGAGATGAGGCAGGATAAAGAGGGATAATCCCCCTCGATCCCAAATCATTGAGGCCAATTTCTAGCCATAGAATAATGGCGCGTGGCGGCTGCAAATAAAGCTCTGATGGGACAGTTCGACGAATCTCTTACTTACCACAGAATACTAGCCTTAGAAGTGGTACTACATCAGAAAGACTGTCACCTTTTTTCGTGTTATAGACAAAGTTGCAAGGATATCGACGAAAGCTTTCTAAAGATAGGGATTATACAGAAGTCAAACACTGAACTTCAGTTTATTCACAGGACTTTCGCAGAATATTTCGTGACAGAAAGCCTAATTCACGAATTGCAACTTCAGTTACACAACCCAAACTCGGATTTTCAAGAGCTCTTCATCGATCGAATATTAACATCTCCTAATTATCGAACTATCCGATCTTTCCTGGAGAATTTTCTGAAGAAGCTCATAAATTCTATACCTGCTAATATATTCGGGAAATATCAGTCCCGTGCGCACTATCCCAACTACTGGACACAAGGCGCTAATCTTCTACACTTACTGAGTGAAGAAGGTTGCACGGCAACCCTTGAACTCATTCTCAAATGCGTTGGTTTTAAAATCATTACTGGCAAAGAAATCAACAGCGCCGACTTGCAAAACTCCGGTAAAGAAAGAAACTTTCTGCAATCTCTCGCGCGGAGCATCGGGATTAAAAGGCTTGGAGGGGGGAATGTTTTGAAAGTTGTACGGATCCTGGTACGAGAGGGCGGGGTTAACATAAAGGATAAATTTGGGAGGGCGCCACTGCACTATGCCGCTAGCGGAGGCCATTTCGAGATGGTGAAGTTTCTTGTCGAGCATGGAGCAAAGATCGACAGCGTGGACAAAGACGGTCACACGCCATTGCATTTAGCAGCAGCGACGAACGATTTGGATGGTGTAAAATACCTCATAAAGTCCAGCGACGATGTCAATGTCAAAGATAACATCGGACTGACCCCGTTACACTTCGCTTGCGCTAATGGCCAGTTGGACACAATCAAATTCTTTCTTGAACTGGGCGTAGATTTCCACGTCGAAGACAATTACAATCGCTCACTTGTGCATTTGGCTGCCTCGGAAGGTTATTTAGACATAGTCAAATTTCTCCTGGGGCTGAGTGCAGATTTCAACGTCGGAGATACGTACGGCCGTACTCCATTGCATTTAGCTGCCTCGAATGGTTACTTGGACATAGTCAGATTGTTTCTTGAACTCGGTGTACGCGTAGGTATTGGAGACAACTATAACCGGACGCCTTTGCATTTAGCTGCGTCGAATGGTCACTTGGATACAGTCAGATCTCTTCTTGAAATGGGTGTAAAGTTCAATGTCAGAGATAGTTACAACCGAACCCCACTGCATTTAGCTGCCTCGAATGGTCATCTAGATACAGTCAAATTGTTTCTTGGACTGGGTGCAGATTTCAACATTGAAGATAACTACAGTCACACGCCGCTCCATCTAGCTGTATCGAATGGCCATCTTGACACTGTCAAATTCCTTCTTGGACTGGGTGCAGATTTCAATGCTACGGATTATGATGGGTGTACCGCAATACATTTGGCAGCCTCGAATGGTCACTTGGACACAGTCGAATTCTTTCTTGGGCTGGGGGCGGACTTCAATGCTGAAGATAACTACAAACATACTCCACTGCATTTAACTTCCTCGAATGGTCACTTGGACACTGTCAAATTCCTCCTGAAATTGGGTGCTGATTTCAACGCTAGAAATCTTGACGGTCGTACTCCACTGCATTTGGCTGCCTCGAATGGTCACTTGCACACTGTCAAATTCCTCCTAGAATTGGGTGCAAATTTCAACGTTAGAAATCGTGACGGTCGTACTCCACTGCATTTGGCTGCCTCGAACGGTCAGTTGGACACTGTTAAGTTCCTTCTCGAACTGGGTGCAGATATCAATCTTAGAGATCGTGAAGGCAACACGGCACTAATTTTTGCTGCTAACAATGGTCACTTGGACACAGTCAAATTTTTGGAAGATCAAGGAGCAGATACTAGTACAAATAAGTGGTGAATTGGTCAGAAAGTGGGGGTGGGTCGTATTGCTGGAATGTGTGTTAATGTAAGGCAGTAGTTTTAAATATTTTGTGTATAATTAAGAGTATTTCAATTAATCTGAATAACACACAAAAAAATTGCTGAACCAGAAACTAAAACTACCAAGCTTTATATATATTTTTCCATGTATTTTGGGTATTTGTCAAAAACACAAAATAAGCTATTTTATCGCCAAAAACGACCCTTTAAATTAAAAACGAACGTATTTTTGGATTAGACACATCGTTTTCTATACAGTGTGGCCCATCGAAAACGGGCCGTAGGACATAACTGCCAGGAAAAGATCTTGTCGAAAAAATACTGAAACACGTCGATTTTGTTTGTGAGGGAGAACAACTTTTGACGTGAAACTCATAGCCCACATTCCACCCTCCTATGCGGGGGTGTCATCCCCCAAATTTTTTCAAATGGCAATCCAAACCGCGACGCTCTAGCCGTTCTATTTGCGGAAATATTGAATTTAATTAAATTAAGGCGTTTTTAAAACTGCAAAGTAATCAGCCAGGGCATCTGCGCAGTCATTGATAAAAGAAAATATTTTTTCGCCATTCCGCTAACAACTGTTGGGATTATGGGTAGAACTAAAACACTTTAATAATTAAAAGATATTGTTTATTAGCTTCTTCAGATATCACATCTATTCTGTGTCAAATCAGATTGAAAACTAAACTTCTCTCTTAAGCTTTTAGTGCTACAAAATATAAGCATTTTTAATTTATTGGCAATAGCCCATGAACATTCAGCTAAGAAATATAAATACATATTGGGATGTTTTTGTATACAGGGTGTCTCATAATTAGCTGCCAACCCTGAACAGGCCGATTTTGTGATCAAAACTAAGTAAAAAAGTCTTAAAGATTTCCTTAACAGAATTGATTGGATGTGCTACTAACATTTCAGGTTGGAAGAATATTAAAGCGACAAGGTCTACATGCCTATCACTATC